GGGGGGGGTGTCTCCATGCAGGCAGCATGGATGATATAGTCCCTCTTGGTCTCCTTGGTCTTCCCTCCCATCCTTGGGACATCCCTCTGCTCTGCTCAGTGCCTGGCTCCTGCAGGTCACCTCCAGCCTCCCTCCCTCTGTTCACCTCTGCCACCCCGAAGGCACGAGGCAGGGACATCACTTGGAACCCCACGTCTCCCCGGGGGATGGGGAGGACAGCAGGCAGGGAGTGAGCAGGCTCCCGGGACCCCCATCCATCTCAGGAGGGTCCTGGTGTGGCCACAGTTATGGTCTCCACAGACAGTGTTTGGAGAGATGCTGGGCAGGTGCTGGAGAAGGCGCATGAATAAATGTGCTGGAAACCCGTTTCTGACACTGACGTTGTCTGGGCCATAGACATGCTTGGAAGCGTTCAAGGTGCTTCACAAAATGGCCCATGGTGGCTTCCCTGCCTTGGAGGGCTGGGGATGCCGATGGAGGGTTCCATCTCCCTGCTGGGCTGCTGGGCTGGACCCCACAGCTTGCGTTTCAACTACGGGGTGGCACTTGGGACCTGTTTTGGGGGGGATGCTGAGCACCATGGCTCACAGTGCCAGCAAGCAGGGTGGCTTGTCCCAGAGCTGGCCAGGAGCCGCGCTGACTCCAAGCCATAAAGCTGCAGCTTGACTTCCCAAGGTCCCCAAGCCTGTGCCAAACATTGTGGGACCTGCACCTCTCCTCTCCCTCCTCTCGCTCCTGGCCAAGCTCATCTGGTTTCTCTTATCTCTCCCTTCTCAGCCCCCTGTGTGGAGCCTTTTTCCTTTGTGAAGCCTCAAAACAATAGTTGCACCAAAACAGCTGAGATAACAAAACACCTTGCACGTCCACAAGGGCTGGTGGGATCCAGGCTGAAATGCTGGAGAAGGCAGGAGGTTGGCCATGGCTGCTTCGAGGCCGGGAATTCATCCCTGATCCCCCTTTTTTCCAGCTTAGGTTGCAAGTACCTCCCAGAAGGGAGCACGGCGTCCCCTCCAGTGCATAGCACAGCCGTGTGGCCACCAGGCACTTTTGCTGCTGTGAGGACATGACACTAGTGTGTTTATGTAGGGCCTACAGGAACTGCTGAAGCTGGTTTTGGACCATTAACGTTGTGGCCACAGACCTGAACTGAAGGATTTGGCTTTTGGGGTTCCCCTCTCGGGTGCGTTAGTGTTGTTTTTGGAGTCTCCCACTCTGGAGACAAAAATCCACCTGGACGCTGTCCTGTGCAAGCTGTTGTAGGTGACCCTGCTCTGGCGGGGGGGTTGGACTAGATAATCTCCAGAGGTCCCTTCCAACCCTGACCATTCTATGATTCTGTGATTCTGTATGGCTCATTTGGGTCACCCATGCCGTGTGAGCCGCCCCGTCCTTGTTCCCACGGGAGTGGTGGAGAGGACGGAGCAAAGGGAGAAAATTCCCACGTTTGACCGATGCCGTGGCGGCAGCGGGAGCATGACTGAGTGGGCGCTGGCAGGGGCAGCCCTGCCCGCAGCCAGCTCATTAGCAAATGGCGAACTAATAATTTTTAATAACACGAGCAGCTGACTTGGCCGGTCCCACCTCGGCAGCCCGTGTGCCCAGGGGACCACGTGCTGCTTCCCAGTCCCATGGCCTTGGCCAAGCCATGTCACGGCTATGGCTATGGGCATGACAGCAAGGATTTCCTTTTGATGGGGCTCGTGCCAGGTGCCAGCATCCTTGAGGTGACACTGGGAGGCACTGGGAGAGAGGAAAAGGAGGAGGCAGGACAAGGCATGCATCCCCAAGGTCGATAGCACATCATCATGGGTCGTGTCCCACTCCTGTGAGGGGTCCTGGCTCTGACTGAGGCCCGGGACAGATGGCAGCAGCCCCCCGGCTCCTGCTGCAGCACCACTGGACTGGGGCAGCTGCAGCAAAATTCCCTTTTCCATGAGGATTTTCCCTGAGCGCTGGGGGCTCACAGGCAGCCCCGGCTCACCCCAACTGGCATCGGGGCTCGTGGGGTGCTGGGGTGGCTGTGCTGCCTCCACCTCACCTCACATCCTCGGCGAACAGCGCCCAACCTCCCCACCCATCCCTGAGCGAGGGCATTCTGCTCCCCTTTCGTCCCCCAGCTCCTTCTGCTTTTGCTACCGAAATTATACGATAAAATCCCAAGCAAAGCGGACGCTTTACAGGCGTTCGGCTCCCTGTGGGACATGGGGTCCCCAGTCCTGCCTCTGTGCTGGGCATTGAGGTCTCTGCTCCAGCCAGGGAAGAGAGCAATTACCAAACAAATAATAGGAAATAAAACACGCAGGATTTGGCTGGGTGCTGCACGCTGGGAGGAGGGTAACGGAATGCAGCCCGGCTCTCGATGTGTGGGTGCGGGTTTCACAGCATCACAGAATGGTCAGGGTTGGAAAGGACCTTCAGAGATCGTCTAGTCCAACCTCCTGCCAGAGCAGGGTCACCTACAGCAGGTTGGGCAGGAACGCATGAAGGCAGGTTTAGAATGTCTCCAGGGTGGGAGACTCCACAGCCTCTCTGGGCAGCCTGTGCCAGTGCTCTGCCACCCTCACAGGAGAGAAGTTCCTCCTCATGTTAAGATGGAATTTCCTGTGTTCCAGTTTGTGCCCGTTGCCCCTTGTCCTATCACTGGGCACCACTGGAAGGAGTCTGACCCCATCCTCTTGCCATCCACCTTTAGATATTGATAAGCATTCATGAGATCCCCTCTCAGTCTTCTCTTCTCCAGCTGAACAGCCCCAGGGCTCTCAGCCTCTCCTCAGCAGAGAGATGCTCCAGTCTCTTGATCATCTTTGTAGCCTCCGTTAGACTCTGTCCAGCAGTTCCTTGTCTTTTGTGAACTGGGGAGCCCAGAACTGGGCACAGTTTGTGGGACTGGGGACACTGCGGGTGCAGCGTTTCCTACCCGGGCTGTGGTTCAGCTCCCTCCGTTTTCAGGGCTGGGGATGGAGGAAGCAGAGGGGCCCTGGCTGCCTCCCTCTGCCGGTGCCTGCCTAATGCAGGCAGCAGCCTGCCGTCTGTCAGGGCAGTGCTGCTCCACCATACTCCCAGGGTGGTAATCGTGGAGCATTAAGGTGATGGAAAGCGTCTCGGGTTCAAGGTGGCTCCTCTGGAGAGGACGGGGTGGCAGAGCATCCTGGGGTGCTCAGGAGCTGGTGGGACACAGAAAAGTCGGGCAGACATGGTGCTGAGGGACGTGCTTTAGTGGTGTGTTTGGCAGTGTCAGGTTGATGGTTAGACTCAATGATCTGAAAGGTCCCTTCCAGCCCAGACGGTTCTATGATGGGACGAGGGTTGATGCAGCTGTGCAGGAGAAACACCAGCGAGCGATGCCCGGGCGGCGGAGGAGGAGGGTGCTGCAGCAGGTCCCCCCCCAGCAGACAAACCTCCCTCCCTTCCCGTCCCTGTGCCAAGCCACGGGCAGGTCTCGGCCAGCCCAGCACGTGGGGTGCCGCTTGCGCAGGGCTGGCAGGGTTTGCCCATGGTTTGGAAATGCCGCACAGGTTCAGCCCAGCCAGATGAACATGTGCACGAGGGCCATCCCCCGCTACGGTGCATATGCTGAGGAGGATCTGGCAGTAAAGGTGGTACCCCGGGTCTCGGGAGCCAGTTCCTGGCTCTGCCTCAGCGAACCGAGTTAATAATAAAAAGCCTGATGCTTCTGCTTCTTTGGCTGCCCCTCCTTCAAGAAAGCAGAGGGCTTTCCACCCCTTTCTCATACTCAGCCAGTGGTGGATCCATTTGGATCAGGAGCAGGACCTCCTTGGAGCAGGACCACCCGTCTGCCCACTGCCATCGATGGGAGCTGGTGCTGCCTCAGAGATGTATAAATACACGGAGATGTGAAAAGACAGTTTGGGCTTGGCTTTGGAAAGGAACGGAAAAGCAAGGCTCGTGACAGCAGATTTTAAAAGCAGGCGTGGAGCAAACTGCTGTGGACTGACATCTGCAGCTTTGAACAAAGGTCTTTGCGCCCACCGCGGTGCTGGTCCAGGGCAGAAGCTGAGCACCCCGGCAAAGGCAGATTTTGCAGGCGCTGGGAATGAAGCTCAGTTCATATTCAGGAGGCAAAACACTAGCCCAGAGGCCAGGAACTATTCCATTTTATTTAAAAAAATCCCCAAGCATGTTACTAAATAACTACGCAACCATGAGTTTGTCTCTGCTGGGATACGATGTCTTTGAAATGGGCACAAAAACAGCGACTGCAGAGTGCACAAGCCCACATCTCCTGCCGGCAACTGAGTGGAGCCCTCGGCCACCGGCTGGCGAGCTCTTCCCTCCAGTCGCCGTCCCGCCAGCAGCTGGCATCAATGCTGGACACTGTGAGACGGAAAAGCTGGGAGGATGGAAAAGGCAGAACAACCTACAGGATTAATTCAATGGTGGTAATTGAAAAGTCAAATAAAGAATGGCTGTGCATTAATCCCCCTAATTTAAACAAAGCTGTAAACCGTGGGCTTTCTCCAATGAAAACTGGTGAAGCAGTAGCAGCTAAGCCTTAAGACGCAAAAATACCCTCAATATGAGGTGCAAGACATGCTTTCTGGCAAGCACAGCTCGATGAGTTAAGCTCCAAGCTAGTGACTTAATCCACCATTCAAGCGCTGTGGGCCAGATCCTGGCGAGCAGCAGAGCTGCGAGCAGCGGGGCTCGGTGTGTGGGCAACGGGCAGGGAGCTGCGCTGTGTGCCCCGCGCCTGCATCCCCCGGTGACAGGAGGCCAGCCTCCCTCGCTGGGTCACGGCAGGACAAGGAGGGATGGAGATGTTACAGCTAGAGTGGTGGGATGAGGCCATGCGGGGATGTGGGACCAGTCTGGGTAAGCACTGAGTGCTGCCTGGGATGCTCTTCCCATCGGAGCGGGAAGAAGCAATGGGTTTTCGTGGGACTGCAGGAAGTCCCACCACGGCGGGGTGAGGGACCAGAGGGTGGTCTGGCAGAGACCAAGCTCGTCTCCCAAAGACACCTCTCTGTTGTGGGCTTAAGATGAGCAAAACTGCTTTAATTGCTGATCAAGGTAAAACATCAGGAGTCACTGAAAGCCTTCTTCCACTGCGTGAAGAGGGATCCGCTTAGATGAATTGGATCCTGATTGCGCTGAGATTTATGTCCGTCCTTAGACTTTACACCAGGAATACACTGCTGGGGCCCAAGAGATTATCCACAACGTGTGAAGCTAAGCGCTTGTATAAATCTTTGCTGGAAGCGTGCCTTCGGCCATAAATTTTTTAGGGCACGGACTGTCTGTCGCTGTGCGTGCAGAGCAGGAGCGATGGCTGGAGGGACCTCTGAGCTCTCCCCACACAGTTACGTCTCTTGGATGAGTGGGCGTTTGGCAGGGCTTGTGCTCAGCCGCTCTGGGGTGGGGTGGACTTTGCTGGCTGGAGAGGGGCGCTGTGGCCCGGGGAGCACTCCGATCACCAGTGGTGGGGTGAGAGCGCCTTGTTCAGGGCAGCACTGGAGTGATGCTGGTGGCACCTGGCTGCTCTTTCCAGCACAAGTGGTGATGAGGATGGGTGATGCTTCGTGCCCAGCCGCACTAACAGAAACCCAAGCCTTTGCTAGCAGAAAAGAGACAAAGCAGTGGATGGTTTCCAAGAGGTGTACCTGCCAGCTCGTCAAAGGCACCTGCTTCCTCCAAGTGCTGCAGGATCCAGCCAAGTCCATGCAGAAGAGCCCTGTGGAGTAGGCATCAGGAGACCTTCCAGATGCATCTGACGCATCTGAAATGTCCCAGAGAACGGTGGTTCAAAAGAGGGTGGTTAGCCTGATGTTCTCCTCCAGGGGAAGCAGCAGTGCTGTTCCAGTGGGTCATCCAGGGCTGGCCAAACTGGCCAAGCACTGGAGCATCACTGCCGGCTTTGCTCCTAGCAGTCCAGGGCTGGACCATGCCTTGATCTCACGACCTTTGGGGGTCCTCAGTGACCTGACAGCGGGTGTTTGCAGGAGAGCCGGGAAAGCCTGGCTCGCTGGGGAGAGCCAGCCGCCCTGGCAAGAGACAAGCCTGTTGTGGCTGAAGAAAGGCCCTGTGTTTCCGATGGCCCCACGTCATGCCAAGACTCCCTTGCTCACTGCCATTTGTTATCACAGCTGAGCCCCCAAAATATCCTTGTCAGAAAGACGTCCGCTTCCAGTCCCAGCCAAGATCTGATAAGGATGAAGCATCTGGTCCCCATTAGAGGCCGCTTGCTCTGGTTTCTGGCCGTGCGGGAGGGGGCCCGAGGAGCAGCACTGTGGTGCTCCCACCAGTCCCATCTGGTGAAAATTAGGGAAACGATAACATCAGGGGGCTGTGGGGGCAGGCAGGGGGGGGATGTTTTTGTTTTGCTTTGGAATCACGTTCAACTCTTACACTGATGGAGGCCGAGATAACCTCCTCTAGCTCATAGCCAGTCCAGCCCTGGGCAGGCCGATGGGAAGAACCTCTCCTGAGTGAGCATCTCCTTCCCTCACAGGCAACCCCTGGTGGGTCTGTCATCCAGTGTTGTGTGATGGAGAGTCACTTTGGGTTAGTCCTGAGATTGGAGACCCAACTTTCACCCACCTCAGGTGTGGCTTTTTCCCTGGGAAGGCTGTGGTGGAAAACCATGAGGACATCCTTTGGCTGGGGTCTCCAGGATTCAGGATGGGCGTTGAGGCTTATGAGCTTGGGAAGCATCAAGAAAATCCTCTTCAGACCATCCTAAAACCAAAACAAGTTTGTGTAAAAGCTCGGTGTTGGTTCAGCTCTGTGGGCTGGAAAGCACAGAGGTGGGGGAGCAAGGGGAGAAAATGTGTTTTACTGCTGTGACAGGAGCATTACCCCAGGGTTGAGGTGGGGGAAGAGCAGACCTGGCCTGCTCTCTCCTCTTTCTGTCCCTCAGTCCCAGCCTGGCCATGAACAAGGGTTTGCATGGCCCCATGTGAGCTCCGCTCCCTTTGCTTGCACAGGACAAGGCTGGCAGCAGGCATGGGGCTGCCTGTGGAAATCCCTCCTCCTGCCTGCACGCATCCCGGGCTGTCCCCGGAGCTGCTGCCTGCAAAGCGGGCAGGAAGAAGCTGTTCTACTGGTGTCCAGACTTTAAATGCCAGCTGGCAGCTGCAGGTGCCTGTGTGAGCTGTAGGGTCTCCAGGGGCTCATCTCCGTCGGCAGAGGCCATACCTTGGCCAAGTTCTTCATCTGCTGGCGCTCCTGCCATGCTGCTCGCAGCACATGTGAGGCCACAGTCTGGACCTATGGGTCTGGGCTGTGCCGGCCCCAGCGGCTGCTCTCCACCACTGTGCTGGAAGGACCCACGTCCCCCTCATCTCTCCAGGGGCGGCACGTTGGGTCCGGTTTGGGATTTGTATTGTGCATCACCTCTCATGGAATCTTTTCTCTCTCTCCCACCCAGCCTGCGACTGCCACCCCGTTGGCGCGGCCGGCAAGACTTGCAACCAGACGACGGGGCAGTGCCCATGCAAGGACGGCGTCACCGGCCTCACCTGCAACCGCTGTGCCAAGGGCTACCAGCAGAGCCGCTCACCGGTGGCCCCCTGCATCAGTGAGTGTGGCTGTGCCTTGCCCTGCACCTGGGGACCCTCACCGGCACCAGGAGATGCTCTCCTTGGGCTGGTTTGCGGTGGGTGGGAGGCTGAGCCAGGGGGCTGCCCGTCCACATGGCTGTGCTGGTTAAGGCAGGATGGTTGGGTCACCTTCTGGGGTCACCCATACTTTGTTCCCCCAGCCCGGGAGGCTCTGAAAGACCCCTTGGGTTAGTGCTTCCAACCAGCTGAAACAGCTCTGCTGGGACATGTCTTCAGCTGCAGCAAGGTGCCTTCCTCACCCAGGTGAGCCCTGAGTGTGGTCAGGTCTGGGGCAAGGCCAGATCCCATGGTCAGCTTAAAAACGTGTTTATTGCTGCAGTGGGTCTGAATTTGACCCAAGGAGCAGAGGAACAATTTCCCACCCTGCAGCGTCCACTGGCACTGCTGGAGTGGTGGCCGTGGGGGTGAGCTGGCAGGGCTGGCTCCTCCCCTCTGTTCTTCCCTAGATTTGGGGTTAGGAGAGAATTTCCCCCAGGTTTTGTTGCCAGGTGTCCTGAGAAAATGTTGTCTTTGCCCACGCTTACCCCTGTGCTGTGCAGCCTGGAGCACGCTAAGGTCAGACGAGCATCCATCTGATGCCCAAACAGTTTGGATGAGCTGAGCATCCAGGGACCATCTGTCCTTTGCAGCAGTGACTTAGGGGTCCTGGGGGTTGCAGGCTCTCAGCATGTCCCAGTTTACTGAGCTCAGTTTGGGCATCTCTGGGTCTATTTAATGGCCTGTGATACTCAGGTCAGACTCACCCCATCATCTTTCTTCGCAAACTGCTGGTGATGACCCACAACCCCCTCTGCACCCCGCTTGCAGAGGGCTTTTGTCTGGGTGTCACCCCCAGAGCTGGGGACCCCTTTCCTTAAGACATCTCTCCCTTTCTCTTCCAGAGATCCCTGCCATCAACCCCACCTCCCTGGTCACCAGCACGGAGGCACCTGCAGGTAAGTGCTCCACGTCCCAGGCCAAGCCCACAGCCCCAGCCCTGGCCAGAGATGTCCCATCCCACTGCCCCTCTCCCCAGTGCAGCCGGGAAAAGGGCTGAGCCCCACCAAACCCTTTGGCAACAAGATTAATGGCGAACAATTTTGGCAAAAAAAAAAAAAAAAAAAGAAGACTGAGATTTGAAATCCTATGTATTTCTGGAAAGGGACCGACAAAGCTTGACAGGGCTGCCTCAGGGAGAGGGTTTCTCCATCCCCTCCGAGGAGAAAAGCAGGGATGCAGCCTGGCCAGACCTCGCCACCCCTTGGCAGGTTGTGGCAGGGGTTATGGTGTACAGCACCTATGGCTCAGTGGGTGCTTGGGGGCTGGCTTTTTTTAATCTCCTTTTATCAGTGCCAGGGAGGGAGGTTTCTCCTCGGTGCCTTTTACCTTGCCCTGGCTCTCTGAGCAGTGCCGGGGCGGTGGGGTCCAGCAGGCTGCAGGCAGGCTCAGGAGCCCCTGTGCCAGCGTGTGGGCTGCCAGGTCTCCCCTGGGACATGGGTGACATGGGGCTCACCCCATCCAGGTCTGGAGGAGTGAAATGTCTGGGTCTGAGCTGCTTGTTCCACCTCTGCAATCTGATGGTACCACGGGATGGTCAATGTCACTGCTGCTGTCACCCAGCAGGAGCATCTCTGGTGGTGGACTGCAGGCTTTGCTGGGGCGAGGGAGGCATTTCTGTCGCTGTCCTTAGAGGTCCTCCAGGGCCACCCTGGCTTCCCCAGGCTGAAGCAGCAATGCTCATGTCTCCACGCATGCTGCAGGTTTGCTCGTGCTCTTGCAGAGGCTCAGCTGGGGCTGCACACGTGGTGGGTGCATGGATGCTGCCTGCACTGGTGGGTTAGGGTCCCTCTTCCAGCCCAGCCACAGCTGCCAGGGCCCCACTGAGGGTGCCCTCAGCTCTCACCCTGACACGGCACATGCCGATAGCACCAGACAGCGGTACACCAGCCTCTGGACCCTATTCCCAGCCCTCCGCGGTGCTGCAGGATGTGGTCCAGCAGATGGCATGGCAAACAGGTAAAGCAGATGCTTTGTATCCTGTCCTCGACCACTCCTCTTCTATCAGCCACCTCCTGCCATCTCATCTGTCTTCCCAGCACTTCTGTGCCTTGTGTGGGGGTCACAGCGGTGGGAGCGGATGGGCTGTGCTGATGCTGGGCCAGCTCTTCAGAGGCACACATGGCCGTGCATTGGCGGGG